TGTGTTTCTGTCTTGTCTGGGTCTGATGCAAACAAAATGTTTGCAGGGTGCACTGAAGAAAGATTCACCATTGCCTGAGAAGGCAAAATTAGCATCTTGATTGTCACAGTTAAACACAAATGTCTTAAAAAAACATGTATTTAAAAAAATCCAATAATTCATTTTTGTAAAGGCAGATTTCTTTTCAGATTTGTTCTTGTATCTGTAAAAAAATATGAATGATATTCAGGGCATCATTATGAAAGTAAAATACAATGTAATTGACTGGGTATTAGGTGAAAGGAATTTAGAGTCAATTCTGAATGATGGCTCTCAATGACAATTTAGGGGTATGTTTCCAAATGCTTCCATGCTTTCCAAAATCTGGGTCTCTTTCTGACATTTTCATTGAAGAGCAGCATAAGCCCTAGACTACTAAGAAAGAAAAACTAGTATTAATCACCTCTTAAGTAAGGCTGTCCATAAGACTTTGGCAGAAGTAATGTGCTGAGAACAGACAGAAACCTTCCAATTAAAAAAAAATTATCATCTAATATGCACTTTTAAATGATTTTAAGGTTTGAATTTTGTTTGATTTCTGTGTCCACTGACTGCTCCCTCATCTGAGTTTTCTTGGATTGCTTAAGGTAAACTGTTTCACTCCACTCTTGTTTAATTATTACTGGACAAATAAGCTGGCTACAGTCTATCCAACTGAAAAATTCTGGTTCAGCAGATTTCACCTAAGTTTGCTCAGTTCTGCTTATTTATAAAACCTATAAGATTTCCACAATAAATTAAACAGAAAATACCAGCCCTTGAAGAAACAACCCCTGTCCACCTTCAAAATAAATATTTATATAAATTATCAAAGAAAATGTTTTCTATTCTACTTTACTTTTATAAGTAAGATTCTTGCCTGAGGTGGATTAGGAATTTCTTAAGCAAGGCTACTTATCTTACAAATTATGTTAAATATTTGTATGCTCAAACAAGCATCTCAAGAAACATTAACGTATTTTAAAGGTTTAAGAAACACTGGAAGGCATCAGCATTCAGAGAACTAAGTGGCAGTAAAATTTCAAAACATTTTCCCAACTAACTATTTTCCCTAAAGCTACTTATCATACAAAAACGGATACAATTTTCTTTTGGAATATTTTATAAGTGTCTCAATCAAAAGCATTTCATCAGCATTAACAATAATCTGTTCTACAAAATGCTTTCTGCAAGGCAAGTATTAGCTGATATTTAAATACAGCTTTCAAACATAAAATACAACATGAACTATTGAAGTAAAACAGCACATTCACATCTACAGTCTAGAACTTGATCATTTGGATTGAGAGAAATGGAAGTTTTTCTGACACTTACAGGATGAAATAGGAAAAACTTTTTACAGTTTTTTAACTGAACTTATAATCTCAACAAACTATCAAGTAAAAAAAAAACAGAGATATATAAACTACAGCTGGTCATCATACGTGGAAAGATAATTTTAAAGTGCTTTGTGAGCTTCAGAAGAAAAGAATAAGTCCATTATTTAAAAAGAAATATATATATATAGATTTTAAGGTAACCTGGACAACTTTCTTTCAAAAACAATCCAAGAATAAGGACTTTATTAGTTATCATGTTAATTTTATTATTATATAACAATGTAAACTGAGTATAACATGCTGCCATCATGTGTACATCCTAAAAACTTTATGACATGACTACTAAGCATCTCCATATGTGGCTTGGAATTTTGACCATACTTCAGATGTTTAGAGGATGCACTGCTTGTCAGAGTTTTACATAAATATAGAAAAATGTTTGAGACTGTCTCATTAAATTAAAAACAAAATGAAATGTTCATAAAACCCAGGAGAACACTCAGATACATTCAAATGTTAATACTTCCTTTAGAGTTCTCCCTTATGGGTAGTACTACCTGATTTCTGACTGAGAAAAATTACAATAATAACAATAATAACTATAATAATAATAATTTTCATAACTCTAACAGAACTTAACAGCTGAACCAAAATGAAATATTCTGTATTTGGAATCATACAGCATACATATCTGTATACAGCAAATATATTCTGTAATATATACCAGAAATAGTGTTATATATTACAAAATATGGAGGTAGTATAATAATAACATCCTTTACTCAGTACACCATTACTTGAGACCGATATACCCAGAATGCGACAGACTGGGATCAGACTCTCAAAAGACAACATTAAGGCTTATCATTTCCATTAGCAGTGTGACAATTCCTGACATATACATTAGAATAGTCAGCAAGCCAGACAGGATACAGATAAGAACAATACTCTAAACTTCTTGAATACGTGCATTTGAATCCATGAAGGAGAATGGAAGCTGCTCTGGATAGCAGGTCGGTCACTGGTTATTGGATAAAATGGGACACCCACCATACTGTGGTACATTTGGAAAAATCAACATAATAAGTTATTTTTTTAATGAAGAAAATCATTACCTATAATTGTCTTTCTCTACCTTTCACCCTGTTTCAGATCCATAGACATCCTTCTTTTCTTTTCTTTTCAGAAGTACAGAAAAGAAGGATTAACAGCTGTTTAACAATGCAGGACTTGGCCAAGACACAGAAGTAGGTAAGCCCCAGATACACAAACCGAGACTGTGACAAAGACCAGAAACATTCCGTCCCATTACACTGGGAGCTTAAACTGGAGATTAAGCTGGAACTTCCTAACTGATGAGGGGGGAAGATGATCACATATTTGTCAGGAAAGAACAAAGTCATTATGGGGTATTTTAGGGTAGCAAAAGGTGTTATGGGATGTTTAGGGGAACGGGTGTGATGAAGGTACATTGCAGGTGTACCTGCGGTGGGACAATGGGGCCAGCCGAGTGAAAACAAGCTGCAGGTCCCCACACCTGCCTAAACAACTACAGATTCCAGACAAGCTCTCTGCTCCGTCTCTGCCTGCAGCTAGACAACTTCCAGCCAGGGCAAGTGATCTGGGATCTAGCTTGGAGATCGGCAGAGACTCCGGGCTCAACAGCCAAGTTACCAGGGGGAATAAAGGTGTGGAGCAGGTACTGGAGAGACCAGCGTGAGGGCGGGGATGGCGGAGAGCCGCTCTCGGCAGCGTGCGGGGGGGCGCTGAGCTGACACCCCCTCAGCATTCCCAGCGCCTGGACCTCGGGACTGCAGCATTCCAGCTCTGCTGGGAGGGGAGGAGCACTCGCCAAATCCCAAAGCCGCTGGAATGAGCTCCCTTGTGCCGCACCACCAATGGCATTCCAATGGAAAAACATCAGCACAAACATCAAACACAACTTCACTGAGAAACTCCACTTCATTGCAGATATGGGGAAAAAAGGGTCAGCACGGCCTGACACGGTGGCAGTCTAGGCCCCTTGAGAACAAGCTGCAGAAGACAGAAATAAAAAAAAAAATTTAAAAAAAAATTAAAAGTATTTCTTACAAAAAAAAAAAAAAAAAAACAGCTTATCGTTTCCTCAGGTAAATCCTCCAAAAGAGGCTGGCCCGGTGTTCCGGGGCCGCAGGGGCGCTGGGCGGGGCGTGCCGCACTTCCGGCAGGGGGCGGATGTTGGGGTTTGAATCGGCCGTCGGTTGGCGCGGCCCGGCCCGGCCCGGTCCGAGCGGTGAGTGCCGCCCTCGGGGCTCCGGGGCGATTGATTCCGGGGCTGCGTGAGCTGCCGGGGCAGGGAGGCGGGAGCCCCTTTCTTCGCCGTGCGGGAAGTGGCGTGCGGCAGCCTCCCAGCCCGTGCTTTGGGGAGCCGCCGCTGCTTGGCTCCCGCCACTCGGAGCGGCAGGAGCCCCGGAGAACTAACCAAGCATGCTCCCTCTTGCCTCCGCGCTGGCGGGAGGCGGGCGGCGTCCCGGGGAGACGCGGAGTGCGGCTCGGAAGGGAGCGGGCGGGCAGGACCTGCCGTGGCCCTTGTGCCGGGCGGGGGTGGCGGCTGAGCCCTGCGAGGTGCGGGGCAGCCCCTGAACCCCCATCCTCGGCTCCCTCCTCGGGACCCGCCGGGAGCGCTGCCGGCCCGCCCGGGGCTGGCTGCCGAGCGACGGGACTTTCTCGGGACACGGCTCCGGGGTGACCGCGGGCTCACCTGGAGGTCCCACTGCGTGGAAATTCGGGGTGCACAGGTGGCTTCGTGAGACTTCCTTTGTTCCTGTGTTTGGGAAAACGTGTGCCTGATACCTTGGGGCTGGCTTTGGTTTTTTTGGTTTTTTTTAATCTCTAGTTAAAAGACTCTTCAAACGCGTTACGTTATGGAGCAGTAAAAAAATAACAGAATGTAGCAAAACACACTCTCTGAGGACTTTTCTAGCCTGTTTAGGCAAAGTAGATACATTTTATTTACACCGGTTTTCTAGACACTGGGCGATAATGGGGTCGTTCCTGCCTTGCAAACAGATGGATGCGGAATTGCTTTGTTCTGTAAAAAGCCCCAGAGGACTTCTGCAGGGGGCCTCAATGGTTGATCCGTGTGTCTTTTAACTTGTAAATTCGAACCTTGGGTTCACATACCTGAAAGAATTTGAGAAAAGTAGAGGGAATTGGGGGTGGGTAGTGTTTTCTTTTTTCTTTCTATTTTGCTGGAGCCAAGGAAAGGTGGGAAGGTGATTTTCTTGTTTTCAACCACATATGTGCTTTGTCCACCTGTAGGGCGTTTTGCCAAAAAAAAGCTTATGTGGCCGTGTGTAGGTAGTTTATTTGTCGTATTACTGCAGGAGCGTGAGAACGGTGAAACCGATAGTGATCATCCTGGGGAAATCCTGAAGACAGAGAATGTGTGTGAGCTCTGGGTCTTTTGCTCCCTCTGTACCTGATTAAATATAGTTATTCCTCTTTATTTTGAAAAAGGGAAGTGTGTTCCTGGGAAATAAGTAGTCACTTATTTAATCTATCAGTGCAGTGTGTCTTTAGGAACGTTTTCATCTAATTTAGTGGTGATGCTTTTTAGTTTGTTTTCCTTTTAGACCATTTTGTGGCCAAGGTCCTTTGTGCAACCACTCTGGTTCTCAGTGGCATAGGACACTTGCCTTGTGCCTGAGACTTCTGCCTTCCTTTATTTTTCTTTTTCAATATGCCTCCTTCCCTAGATCTCCAGTAAAATTGCTACAGTGCTTTATTTGCAATAGTTTGAATTAGCCTAAAGTTTGTTCTTGAAGCTGATATCTGGTAGTCATCAAAACTGTAAATACCGGGATAGCTGGCAGTCTGTCAGGCTTCTGGTTTGACCCTTGGATTTGTTACTGGCTGCTTCCCTGTTCACTTCAGCCTGCAAGAGGGAATTGTCTGCCTACCTGAGTTCCAGCCTGGAGATGCAGGCCATCACTCCTGATTCTTGGCTTGCAGAACTTAGGTAGTGCTTTCTTCAGCTTCCTAAGGGAAGGTGAGTCAAAGATCTACAGATGTTCCTGGAAGAGTTCTGAGAAAAAAATAATCATCTTGGTGCTGTGGTGAAAACTAGGAATTACTTGGTTTGGGTTGTTGGGTTTTGATTTTCCTAAGGTGGGCTAGGATAGGGTGCATGGTGTGGCACACAATAAAGGACAGCTCATGTGATGTTTGAAAGAAATGCAAGTTAGGTCACTTTTACTAAATAAATTGCTTTCTACTTCAGAATGTAAAATACATTGTCCTACATGGTGTAAATTCCCTTGTGTGCATGTCCCAGTTTTGGATTCATCACCTTTTTAGTTTGTGGTTTTTTTTTTTCCTTTGGATTTTTTGTGGATCAGGGTTTCTCTGATTAGGCCAGGATCCCGCATTTTCTCCAAACAATGGAGACTGTATTCATGGTCACATCACTGCTCAGTTGTTTGTTTTCAAGTTCTTTGTATTAGTACAATCTTTATTTGAGCAGAAGTCAGAGCTGTTTCTTAGGTTATCTGTGAACCATTATTTCTGTTGCTTAAAATAAGTAGGAACTCTTCTGTACAATTAAGTTTGTAGATAACTAGCTGTTGTATTGGACTTTCTTTTCTGGAAATAAAATGTATTGTTTGTTAGTTTGGGGAAAGAGGCAAAAATTGCTATATCTCTCATGGTCTCCGAAATTGTTTTCTGGACAATTGCATCCTGCTTTCTGAAGCCCTGTCTCCCACAATAACAGTTGAATTATTATATTCTTTTATCATAATCCCACTTTTAGTTTATGGAGTTTATGCGCTTTTTTTTTTTTTTTCAGTTAAACATAAAAGAGGTGTATAATGTTCATTAATGCACTGGATGTATTTAATACCTTGTTTCTTTTGCATGACAGCCAGCCAGAAGAACTCAGGATGAGTAAAAATACTAATTTTGATGTTCAAAGCACAAAAAGTGAGTAAAAATTTTATCAAATAATTTCAGAAATACGTAATATGCATGTATAATGGTAGTCGTGACTTGTTTTATTCATGCTCAAAGAGTAGGTGAGTTTCCAATCATCAAATTTCTGTGTCCAGTTTGAGGCTCCTCAGTACAAGAAAGACAAGGAGCTACTGGACAGTGTCCAGCGGAGGAAACAGAGATGATTTGGGGTCTGGAGCATCTCTCATGAGGAGAGACTGTGGGAGCTGGACCTGCTTAGTCTGGAGAAGAGAAGGCTGAGAGGGAATCTCATTAGCACATATGAATATCTCAGAGGCAGGTGCCAAGAGGGTGGTGCCAGACTCTTCAGTGGTGCCCAGTGACAGGATGAGGGGCAATGGTCATGAACTAAAACACAAGAGCTTCCCCCTCAACATGTAGAAGAGCTTCTTTACTTTGAGGGTGACAGAGCACTGGAACAGGCTGTCCAGAGAGGTCATGGACTCCTTCTCTGGAGACATCCAAAAGCCACCTGCACAAGGTCATGAGTCACCTGCTCTAGGTGGCCCTGCCTTGCAGGGGTTTGGACCAGATGATCTCCAGATGTCACTTCCACCCTAACCATTACGTGAAATTGTGTTAGAATCACCACTTGTCTCAGGAAATGAAAAAGAAATAACTTAAAACTTTTTTAGTTTGTTTGCTGTAATTAGACTATTTTCAAATAGTATTTTCTGCAGATGTTTTAGGAAGGTAATCTTGTGAATTTATCACACAGAGCTGTGTTTGAGATGTACCATTCAGCACTTTCTTAGGCTGAAGCAGTGCTATTGTTACTGCTGTGACTGTTTCTAATCCTAGAATACTGTAAATGTATTTTATACATCTACTGGGAATTAAAGGGAGGCTGGTAAAAGTCTGTGGAACTATGATAGTGGACTAGAAACTTTGGTAAGTGGGAAATCCTCAAGGTATTAGTTAAATGCAGTGTTGTCTCAAATTGTTAAATGTTTTTAAAAGCTGTGGTAGCAACTAGATGACATTTCACATGCACCTGGACATTGCTGGCCATTTGATAATTCTCTTTGGGTGTTTGGGGGAGAATATTTCAATCGGGAGCACAGTCTGCTTGTGAATGTAGCTTGGCTGATAGACCACTCCTGAATCAGCAGGCTGGTGAAGTATTTTCTTTCTAGTAACTAGAGAAACAAATAGTACATTCTTCCATATCTGTTATAAAATTCAACAATAAGGAAAGGGATATCTACTCTCCTTTATCCAGTAATCTACTTGAAGATGCATGTGATTAAAAGAGGTGAAAGCTACTGCTCTGTAGCTGATCCATAGCAATTCCAGTGCACTCATTGTGGTTATAAACATGATTCTATATTTTAGTCTGTGTTCTCTGTGGACGGACAGATGACTGCCCTGAAAAGTATGGAGAAAAAAGGACCTATGTGGAATACAATCTCACTGTTCATTATTACTGTTTGGTAAGTGTATGGTATTGATCTTGGAGTTTTCTGTTTTATCTGAAAAAAAAGGTGCAACAAGTATTTAATACTAATAACCTGTCGTGGTTTTGTAACAATTTTGTTGTTGCAAAGCTTGAAATGTGAGCTTTAACTCATAGCCTTGAAAGCTTGTACTTGTCAGGTGCAGCAGATGAAATAAGTAAATCCCCACAAGCCTTTATACAAAGCTAAATTCTGTTCATGATCCATTTAAAGGAATTAATGAATTCTCCTAACCTATCATAGCAAATAGCAATGAAAGTACATGTTAAGACAAAAGGAAGTTTTGCACTTACATATTGCCTCCTATAAGAAAAATGTAGTTTCAGAATTTGAAATGTGAAAATTCCACTTGGTGTGGAAAATACAGAAAAGGTTTTTTTTTCATTTCTCAGTATTTCTTGCTGACTGTGAGCTATTCTCTGACATTACACAGAACATTGTGACACTTAAGTCCTAATTTTCAGTTAAGTTATATGTACCCTGTTGATCATATTAGCATAGTTTCACTAATTAGTAGAAGTGTATAATGTAAACAAAGCTGTGGATATAACCTGCAGCTTTTGTTATCACCCTTGACATTTTTCCAAGATTCGTATTCTTAAAGGCATACTTAAACTTCCTCTCAAACTCTAATTTTTTTCAGGTTTTTAGAATAACATTACTACTTTACAAAAAAAAAAGTCTTTTGTTTCTTAATAAATAATAATTTGAATTGTTCTCCCCAATTTTAAAATGGATGTCAAGTATCAGAAGTAATGTAAGGGGTATGTTTTCTCAACAAGTTCTTTAAAGAGTGTTGATTGTTGATGGTTTGAATACTGAATGCTTTAAAAACTAAGGAGAGTGGAGGTTTTCTGAAGTTACATAAAGATAGAGAAATTTGGTTTTAAATAAATTTTAAGCAGCTGTAAGGAAATAGAGGCCATTATACCATGTTAGTGGTAATTTTGTCTCCTATATAAGGCCATATCAAATGATTTTAAAAATCCTATCATGATGAACAGGTAGGAAAAGTCATGCATGCAATACTGAGCTTTAGGAGTTAAAAGGTATTTTAACTGCAGGAAGCTCATTGAAGTATCTTTTACAATTTTTTTTTCTCTACTTTTAAAAATGAGCAAAGCCCTGTGATTTTACTTAAATATAGTGTATGTTATGTAAGAAAAGAGTTCTACAAAGAGGCACATTAGTGACAGTTTAATTATTCTTTGCCAAATGTCGCACAGTTGGAAAAAGTATATTTAATTGGTTTGGCTATGTAATCTTACATTTATTTGAGTACAGTATTGATAAAACTAGTTTAAATGGTACTATGTTGAAATTATAAAATGAGACTGTAAAGAATATAAACAGCATCAAGTTGTGAAACTCTTCAGTTATTTGAAGATTGTAATGTAGCTGCCTAACTTTAAATTATCATCAGGCTCTTCTGATTTGCCTAGTTACTTGATTCTGTGTTTATTTAAATCTCCTCTAAAGCGAATTACTTTTCCTCTTAGGTGACACTTCAGTACAGTTACTTCCTACTGTGCTTCATTATCTTCACAGCACAATTGTCATTCATATTAACTAAGCTAATTTAATTTTACTTCCTCTGAAGATTTATATGCTGAAAGTAATTGTTTGACAATTATCTGAATAGTCTGTATACTTCAAAAAGGAAGGCAAAATATGCTATCTCAGACCCTATAATATTATACAATACTCTGATGTTATTAAATACTTATTTTCATTTTACTGGTTATTGTCATGTCAGACAAAAAATTTGTTTTATATCAGATTTTTAATCATTAAAATGTTTCCAGTGAGCTTTTTTAGACTAAACTTCTCTTTTGACAAGCACGCTGTAATTTGAAATCTTTAGGTTAGGTAGATGTTTTAAAATACTTAATTTGTTTTTGTAGTTGATGTCAAGTGGCATTTGGCAGAGGGGTGAAGAAGATGAAGGTGTAGATGGATTTTTAATCACAGATATTAGAAAAGAAATAAAAAGAGCTGCAAAACTGGTAAGAATAATGTCTTTGGTATTAACAAGGGGAAAAAGGTAACTTTTAAGTGCTCTTAGTACTGCCTGTGGGGTTTGTTTTCTTCCTCCAATGGATAATGTGCTGGGCGCATTCAAGCACCTAAATTTTATGTCTAAGTAACAAATATATTGGTTTTATGGAAGCCACAAGGGATAAAACCCCTGCAGAAATTGTAGTGATACACCCTTCAGGAGAAGGAAGCACCCAAGATTTTGCTCACTGGGCAAAAGGAGTGACAAAAGTCAGAGGGTCACTATAAGTCAGAAAGTTTTATTAGTCATTTACACACTTGGCCTGGGCTTTGTGGAGGGTACCTTTTTGGGGATAGGTTTCTCCACCCCCTATGTAAATTAGTTATCATGAGCAGTCTGTTCTTTCAGGCCTTTCTGGAAATGGGTTGGAGGGCTTTGGGGGTCTAAATCCTGCCCCAGAATCCATGCCCGCTTCTGCTACACATTCCTGTGCTTACGCTGTGCTGTGCTGTGGTTCTTTCTCATAGCCAAGTGAATCTCTGCCAGGCCCTGCTCCAGTCAAATCTTCTCCTTTCTCACAGTGTGTCCATACTAGTAGTCCTTGGTTATCACCAAGGTGATAACCTTGTGTGTTACTGCCAGCAGTCCCTGGTTGGCTCCAGAGCCATGAGGTTATCAGTGTCTGGGACATGCACATTAGCCCCATGTCTTCTGGGAATCGAGCTCCAAGAGTCTCACTTTGAACCACTGTTTATAGGGTCACAAGAGAGTGGGCTTTAGTGACAGTAATTTTCCATCCTGGCTGCAATTTGAGTTGGTAACGTTCTCTGAAGTTTCAGTAACAAAAATACTATTCCACTTGGATTGTTATTCAGCCAAGAAAAAGTTTCCAAGATTGGTATAAAACAGGAGCTCATTAGATACCTGTTAGTTAGTTAGATACCTGTTAGTTCCTGAGAACAGTGTTTCTGATGAGCCTTGAGAGAGGCTTAGTCAAGTCCAGTTGGTTCAGGCTGAGGCCTAGTGAATGTTTCTGAGATTACAGTGTGGCCTGGATGCTCCATTATAATTCATCCCACAACTCAAGTCAGCTTCCCTGGGCCTCTAGAGTTTGCAGCTATTGTTATTCCTTGGGTAAGTTCCAGATAAATAAGAGTGAATTAAACTTTCATAATACCTCATGACATTGTGCTGAGCTTGAAGCTGAGAGTAAATAATTTATACATGCCTATATATAAGTATATATAAGTGTATGCCTATTATAGCTATATAAACTATAGGTACTGGCAAAATTACTTGTATGTTATCTTACATGTCACAAGACAATATGCATATAAACCGATACATTAAGTCTGGGAAATAACTGCATATGTTTAGTCTTTGTAACAGAGCTAAACCTCATTAGTCTTGTCTTAGTCTTGTCACAGTTTTAATCTATTAGCTACTACTCTTTCTTACACTTTTTCTAACTTTTCTCTTGGTTTAATTACTGTAATTTTATTTGTATTTAAAATATTAATATTCTGTTTCCAAAACAAATTATTTCTAGACATGTAATATCTGTAAGAAAAAGGGAGCTTCAATTGGATGTGTAGCTCCTAAATGCAAACGAAGTTACCATTTTCCTTGTGGATTACAAAGGGAATGCATTTTCCAGTTTATGGAAGACTTCAGGTGAGTTTTGGGGCTTTGTTGTTTTTCCATTTTCAATTTATTATATTTAGACAGGAGGTGACTTGGGTTTCTTTCGCGGCTTGTTATTGGATAGGCTGATAGTTGCAAATGACATCAGATTATGTAGGAAACAAATACCTGGTTTGTGGTAGACATTAAAGTCAAATAGTTACATGGTGTACCTAATATTTATAAACTTGATTCTTAACACTTTTAAATACATGACTTTATGCTTATACAAGTAGTTAAGTTGTTTATGAAACTGAGCAGTAAGTTCTGAACTCTGAAATAAACTGCATAATGGTCGATTTGGTTTTTTGTTTGCCTGTCTCCTGCGCCTTTGTTGAAATGGCAGAGCTTTGGCTACCTGTATCTCTCAATGGTCAAAACACAGTGTCTGCCATTTTGTTGTGTTTCCAAGTTTATTAGAGATGGACTGCAGGGGAAATGGGCTTAATATCAAATGTCAAATAATGTTTTGTTTTCTTTTACTGTCATCTGTCTAGCATCTTGGCTGTAGTCAAAATACTCTTGAGTGCATTATCCTTGTTGTGAGCTGACTTTTTAGGGTGGATAGATTGAAGTCTAGCAGGCACTTAATACAAAACAACTTGCATTACCTCAAGTACATGTAAAGATAAGGCATTTTCAGAAAGGTTTGTTCTAGAGCTGCATTTCTTTGTTGTGTTGGTATGGAATATCCCTTAGGTCAGTAGGGATTAGCCATCCCAGCTGTCTCATCTCCCAGTTCCTTGTGCATCCCTAGCCTGCTCACTGGTGGGGGAAAACAGAAAAGATCTTCTGTTCAAGATCTGCTGGGCAATAACTAAAACATCACTGTGTTATCAACACGGATTTCCTCACAAATCCAAAACGTTGCCTTACAAGCTACTATTAAGAAATTTAACTCTAGCCTAGCCAAAACCAGGATGTCTGCATTTTTAGCTTGTTGCATAGCACTTACTCATGAAAAATGGATTAATGAATTACTTTTGCTGTCTTCAAATTTTTTATGAAGATGTTTCTTAAAATGTTGTTTTGTTACTGGAACCATAAATTATTCTCTTTAGATCTTACTGTTGGGAACATAGACCAGTCCAAGAGTTTATGGAAAAAGAACCTAGAGGAGCCTCACAGTGCACAATATGCCTGGATTTGGTTGAACATCTTCCAGTGTACACTGTATTGAAAAGTCCTTGCTGTAAAAATGCTTGGTTTCATCGAGAATGCCTGCAGGTAATACAGGTTCTCCCTTTCATTCTTTTTGCATCCATGGAGATCACATTTCTGTTTAAAAATAATGGAACAATTGCTTATTGGTAAGTGTAGGTAGTGGGTATGTAGGTATGAAGTATACTAGGTTTGAAGAACAGTGCTAAAATTGCATTATGGACACAAAAGTATTTTGAGGTTTTAATGCTATTATTTTTTCTCCCCCGTCCCCCATCCATGTTTCTGCATGTATGATACATACTTCATGCCTTCACTACTTTTGAAGTTGAGCAAGTTTCAACAAGTCATTATGTGCAGAATCTGAGTGCTAAAAATGTAATTTCTCCATCATCAGTTCTCTTTGGCTAAATCCAAGACTAGAAAAAATTACAACATTCTTTTTGTAAATTTATACTGGATCTAAAGAGGTTGACCGAAAAGGATGGTGCTTTCATTTATGAACCTTATTCTGGCATATGAGCTCTTTCCTTAAAGGAAGAGAAAATCCTTGCCATTCGCTTTAATGTCAAGTCACATCATGACTGATACCAGCTTTAACACCCATGTCAGGACGGTATCCATGACTGTAATGCATCTGAACATTAAGACATAATTTATTGTCATCTTAAGGATGGTAGTAATTCAATAATTGGTCTGGTTTCTTTGTTGTGTTTTTTTTTTTTCTTGGCACAGTATCAAGCTTTGAGTGCTGGGATATTTTTCTTTAGGTGCACAGTATGTAATAACCAGGACAGATTTCAAAAAGAAATGTTGAGAATGGGCATACACATTCCAGAAAGGTGAGTAATTTTGTTAATGATTACTCTTGTATGAAAACTTTGATAGGCTGTTACAAATATTTATTTTATTCTACAGAACTTCAGCTATTAATATGTGAAACATCCATTCTACCTTCAGTTGTAGAATTGTTCAGTTTGGTAAGGAGTAGCCTGTTTCCTTTTAGATATGCATAAAAATTGGCGAAGGTGAAATTAGTTACATCAAACATAAAACAGAAAGCTCTGAAAAGTAATTTTTAATGCTATGATTCAACTTAAATTCTAAACCTAATTAGAAGATAAAAGCACTTCTTCAATACAGTCATTTTTCCTTAACGTAGCGATTGCTAAGAAGTGTGTCTTCTGTGTCCAGGTTTAATTATCTGAATTTCTGTCAAGGCAGAATTTTAATTGGCTGATTACTCAGCCATACAGCTCCTATCTTCTGCCTAGGGACTGCAAAGGTTATGTTAGTATATCATCTGCTTCCAAAGTTCCAAGCTGGTTTTCCTGTTTCTATCACCTGATGAGGCTCAAAATATGACATAAAGAGATCAGAATGATGTCTCTTTGTTAGAAGTATTATTCCTTAATAACTATTAGTCTCTTCAGAGAGCACCATCAGTGTTCCCTCTTGAGACAAAAGCTTAAAATTCTGGAGAGGAGGAACAGTCAAAATAATTTATGAACTTCACCATACTGGCCTGGAACATTCTGAGTTATCATTTATGAAACCAGTTTCAGTGGTAACTTTTGTAGGCTGCCTAAACAAATATCCTTGTTTTCTGTGAGAGAAAAAAGGGATGGAGACAGAGCAAACATGCTCTGTCACTGAAGTCATATTAAAAAAAAAAAAATACTTGAAATCAAAGTAACTTCATGCAAGAAAAATTCCGTCTATGTGTTTTATAGTATTATTTTAGTTATTAGACTTTTCTTCCCCCCTCCCCCCTCTGTTACCTAGAACGTCCCTGTTACCTAGAACATGACATGACTGAAATATAGTCATATGTTTATTGCATATATCATTTTCAAAATACAAAGTAACCCATTGAAACAATCAGAAATAGAGTTCTGATATTCTTCTGCCTTGTTTACAGGGATGCATCTTGGGAACTTGAAGAAAATGCATATCAAGACTTACTGCATTGTTATCAACACTGTGATGTTAAAAGATGTCTCTGCAAGAAAGGAAGAGACTATAATGAACCTGATAGGTATGATACATAAGCAGGAAAGTATAACTTAGGATAGAATAGGGTTTTTGACATTTTTCATTGTTGTTATTTATAATTTTTATTTATGTAAATGTTTTGGTATTTTTCAGCATCACGTTTTAATGTCAAGCCAACACACTGTCTAGATAGTGTGTTTGTTTTACTCACTATGATCATATTTCAATACTAAATTTCTCTAACTTGATCTGGTTATAAAAGCCATGAAAACCAAATTTAAGGGATTATCAGTTACCTTGTCCTCATTTTATACAGGCTGAAGTAGAATTTGTGTATCAACACAGCATGTACCTAAATTAATATCGTGTATGTATCATTCAGAGTTTAATTCAGCAATTTAAAATACTTAGAGCCTTTACAAGAAGTTATTGCTAAAGTAGTAGACTTAGGTCAGTAGTTTGAATGCTTCCCTAGAGAGCTCTCCTTTAAAAGAATTACAATTTGGAAAAGCTGACTGGTGGATACCCATAAAAACAGAGGAGTTTGCTGACTAGCAGGATGAGAAGAAAATAGTGCCTGCAGTCTGTTGACTTCAGGACAGGGGAGTACTAATAGTCTCATTCACTGCAAGGTGCTGGAACATGAGTAGCTTTTTTTTCTTGTTGCAGCCAGTTATGAGTACATCTTGTGTGAAGAAAGTCTCCTTGATTAGAATCAGTTCTGCCAGACTGATAAAATTATGCTTTGTTGGTTTAGTGTCAGGATTGCACTTGCTATTGATTAGTCTTTGTTTTAACTAGCCTCATTCTTCTGTCTAATTCTAAATACCTAAGTTTTTCATTTTAGTAAATGGGAAATTAAACGTTGCCAGTACTGCGGTTCTCGTGGGACTCATTTGGCCTGTTCATCTATGAAGTCATGGGAGCAAAATTGGGAGTGCATGGAATGCAGAAGTATCTTTGCAAAATCAGGTGAAGTTATGGATGTGACAGTGATTTCTTAAATGATAATTTCAGGTTATGTAAGCATACTTTGCAATGAGAAAATTCATTAATATAATGTAATCCTGCAGGGAAGTATAGCAAACAGAAAAAGCGTGCTTTGGCTACCTCTGAAAAGACAAATGGAACACCCTGTTTGCTGGAAGGGCCACCTCCGAAGTCCCCTCGGCAGTCATCTGGATCTCCATGCAGTTTTCTACTCCAGTGTGTAATTTTCTGTTTTTTCGCAGAAATTGATCATTGCCATAAGATAATATGTAAACATGAGGAAATGATGGCTTATTCCATAGGAGGAACTTACATTTAATTGCAAATCAAATAAAGTTGGAATTAAATTTAGTGATTGAAGTTTTCTGAGTAAGCTATGTACTCTGGAATTTTGCTGTAGTTATTTGGATTTGGTGGCATGTAAACCACTTTTTACTTCAGTAAAGATAGCTCCTTGTTAAAGGAATTTTAACAATTTATTGGTAACTTAAGAATATACAAATGGCAAAGCTTTAAGTTTGCTTATTGGTATTTTTTCCATTTTAATAGTGTTCTAGAAGTCTGACTTAAGGATAGATGTTCATAACAATGTTTTCCTCTGCTGTAATAAAAACTTTTCAAGTTTGTAAAAACTAATATTTTTAGTTTTTACTTACTGTGTCAGGACTTTCATCTGATGTATCAGATGCAACTAAAAACACATCCTAAGACCACAATGTAATAAAATACGGAATCGTTTTCAAAATTGTAGTTCAGGCACTAGTGGACTTCATAGAAATTGAGATACTAATGAGATTCAGTACTGATTTAGGGGGAAACTACACTGCTACCTTGAAATAGGAAGTGTTCATGCATTCTTCATTCTATCTTCTTAAAATACTGTTTTGGCTTATAGATCACCAAAGATAATGTGCCAGAACTTGTCACCTTGCTCACACCTAGAACAGCCAGCATCCAACAGAGTGACAGTGTCCCCATCTCCAGTGATGTCAAACAGGAACTTGTCCCTGAGGCACAAGTATTTCTTCTGTTTTTCTTATTTTGAAGAGTAATCTAGCACATGGCTGTTTACTGTGTTTCCTACAGACCGTGCAAGGGGGAGGGTCTGTCTGTGTGTGTGTGTGTGTGTGTTTGTGTATATACAGTATCCATATATATTTCTCTGTGTGAATCTATACAGTATGCATATATATTTGTGTGTGTATATACGTATATAGTCACTGCAAAAATGAGATGAGCATGCACTTAAAACCAGAAGTCATAGCTTGAGAAAGGCTTCTGCTTATATACTAAGTGCTAGAGGGGTGTGAAGAGAAAAGAATGAAACCTACTGAGAGTTTTTAGGTTAGGTAGTAAGGGGCTCAAAACCCAGAAATGCATGGCTGATGCATGGCTAAACATTCTTTAGAAAATAGGGAATAAAAAGAATCCTAATTGCTTTCTTCTAATTAGACGGGTCCTAAATTTTAAATGTTTTTGTACTTGTACCATGTGAAGAGTTCATGACTGTACTAAAGTCAGTGCTAAAACAACATGTTTTAATATAAAATATTCAGTTTGAGGACATAAAATTCATTATCTTCTTGTGAGTAGTTAATTTATGGATTCTACCTTATGTGCTAACAATTCTGATGATGGAATAAGGTATTTCTAGTAAATGCAGTATTTGAGATAGTTTTGGTTGGAAGCTAGTAAAGAAAACATCTTGTTTTTTTAAATGAGAATTTTCTTCCTAATCAAATATACCTTTTTTATTATACTGACAATGATTACTCTAATTTGGTTGCAAAACATCTGTAATGCAAAATTATAAACTTCAATTTCTCACTTGTTTCATGTTGTTTAAATGTCAATTTGTGTGATAATTGTTTGGCACTGTGTTGGAGTCATTGAATTAAGAAAATCAGTATTTGATTTATGCCAGGGTAATTATTTCCACCTCCTTTTATCAGTTCTTAGAGGTATTCTAAAACTTGCCACTACAGTGTTAAAATTTTTTAAATATATACTGTTTTACTGATATAATTCAGGCAATACCTGAATGTGCCACAGTGTTAAAGAAGTGTTCTTCTTAATAGACTATTTAAATATTTTTGTGTAACTGTTGTTAATTATGAATAATAGATTTCATCTGAAAATACATGCAATTTTCTTGTAGGTATTTAAGACAGCAAAGAAGGGAAGTTTGTAATATACTGAAGGAGTTAAAGATACAAGTTAAAACAAAAACAACAAGACTTAACATCAATGCAGAAAATATTTGGAGTAGTGCTTTAAAAGGATTTAGACAGCGCATCTTCAATCCTACAAACACTATTGAAGTAAATTTCTCAAACTGCAAAAATAGATCGAAGACAAATACTTCTGCTGCATCAAAACACCATTTCTTCCAAGCATTAATGCTTCACCTTCAGAATTCATCATTGTTTGAGGGCTCTTCTGGAAAGAACTTGTCTCTTGATTTTCAAGGTAATTAGTTGCTTTGTTCAAAAGTACATTGAGAAGTGTATAACTTTAAAATATTTTTTAATCTTCAGCCAGCATGAGTGTCAGTTCACAAGTATAGTCCTGAAGGATGAAAATTGAGGATTAATTTTTTTATTTTTTCAATTCTAAAGAGGAATGGTGTGTGGATTTGTAATTTAAAAAATTTGTGTTGGTAGGAAATGTTGATGACAACCATCAAAAAACACCATATAACTAGACTTGGAACTTTTTAGTTAGTGTTTTTGTTTTCTTTAATTGAATTTCTTTCTTCCTGATTCACTGTCTCTGCTAATTATTTTCCTTTCCTCAAATTTATAGAGCATTATTTCTCATTGTGTGTTTTCAAAAGACCCCAAGTTAGCTTCTTTGAGTTTTTATGCTTCAGAATTAAATACTCATTGGGTGTAAAGTGGAAGAGGACGTTAGATCTCCCAAACCTTGACAGTGGCTGAGGAGTTGGCGTAAAAGAATGTGGTACTCCTATGTAAAAATATGGTCTTATAGTTTGAACTGTCAGAAGATAGCAAAAGTCATTAAGAAAAAAAAAAAGGCTATGACATTTTCTATTAAAAATGAGGATCAGAAATAATTTCTATACATCTAAATAAACATATTTTTTTATTTGCAGCTGTAAAAGAAAATCTTTATTTTGAAGCTGGTAAAATGATTGCAGTTTCTCTGGTTCATGGTGGTCCACCTCCTGGTTTCTTTTCCAAAACACTGTTCAATTGTCTTGTCTATGGTCCAGAGAATGTGAAGCCAGCTTTGGAAGATGTTGCTGATGTTGATGTAGCACAAACAATAAAAACGGTAATATGCAATAAGTTTAATTTTATTTCTTGCTCAAGACTATATTTGGAGATAAAGAAGGACTTACTGAATATAAATTTTGTTGAAATGAAAAGGGGTTTTTTTCACATATATGTATACACGCATGTAGTAAACAAGTGCCTAATTTATCTTTTTATGCAGATAAAATATGCAAATAGTCTGTCCAGCCTACAGTCTACACTACAGGACTGCTGTGCATTCCTCACTGCTGCTGGCTGTTTAAGACCTGTAACAGCTTTGTGTGATAAGAACATGCTGGTGAATGACATACTGATCTATCATGTAATCAAGAGAATTACTTTACCCCTAGAAAGGTTTGTTTTGCTTGAGTTTTCGAACTTCTTGGTTCTTTTCCTCACTGCAGCTCTAAATAATCTGTTGCTAAAACTAATACTAAGAATACTACTTTCAGGTATTCTTACTTACTCTCCATTTAAACCACTGAAGTGTACTGTAATTTTCAGTTGATTAAACAGCAACTGTTAACTAAGTAATTAAACTGAAAAACTTATTTCTCTACGCATTTGCTCTGGCTTCTTCTTGGTCACATTACATTCCCTTTTCAACCTTATGAAGAAGGCAGATTTACAGTTTTTAAACTACAGCATCACAAAGACTTTTGCAGTGTAAAATTTCTCTAGCTTATGTTCAATTCTAATTCACAATTGCTTAAATTTAGAATCTTTATGTTTTAGAAATGTTTAACATATGTTTAGAATTCAAATGAGTTTTCTAGAGTTCTAATTAGGGAGTTTGTGTGTGCTATTAGAAGTGCAATACTGTCAACAAGTGTAAGTTGGCCTGCTTAGAACATAAGCATTGCATTGATGTTTCTGTGAGGTAATGATGACCTCATTAGCTGGAAAAGTTGCAGCTCTTGACTGTTCTTTGATTGGTCTCTGGCCTTACTTCCAATTTGCATTCTTCATCTGCTCAGTAAGAATGTATTGGATGCTAATTTTTCCAACAAGCATAGCCTGATTTAAACTTCACATGTAGTATTACCTCTGACAAATTTGATTAACTCTGTCTCAGAGAGCTATGAAAACTGATTCTTAATGTGAGGCTTTTTGTAAACAAAGGTCAGAAGAATTTAGTCCTTCAGTTCAGGGCCCTCTGGGATGTTTGAACAATCTATATCATATTTTAAAACTAGTGAGTTAAAAAGTAAAACATAACAAATAGTGCATTTAAATAAATGCACTAATTTAAACACTTAAATATTAAGTTAACTTGAAAACTTAAGCATTTAAACACGATGAAGTAGTGGAGTTTTGTGCATTTGGGAGATGGGCGATGGGCATAAGTGAGTATAACAAGAAGTTGCTTGTCATTATAAGGGATTGGGAGTAACTAGAGAGCTGGTTATTTTAGCTGTTAAATGTTCTATGCCACTGGGCACCACTGAAAAGAGCCTGTCTCTCACCTCCTTGCACATTCTCTTCAGATATTTCTACGTGTTGAGATTCCACCTGAACCTTCTCTTCTCTAGGCTGAAGAGTCCCAGCTCTCTGAGCCTGTCCTCAAAGGGTTATGCTGTAGTCCCTTAATCATCCTAGTCACCCTTTGCCAGAACCTGGCACTGGACACAGCACTTAAAAGTATGGCCTTACTGCTGCTAGGCAGAGGAAAAAGATCACCTCCCCTGAGCTGCTGGCAACACAGTTCCTAGTACAGCCCAGGATGCTGCTATCTGCATTTGTCACAGGCAGAAATAACAGCATATAAACACATGCAAACTTGCAAAAGCCAAACAAAGACTATCTTTTAATACAACTCATTTTGTCTATGGACAAGGAATTTAAGCTGTTTTCCAAAGAGCTATTTGTAAGAAAGAGAATTGCTATGTTTTCTTACTAAAGTAAAAAGTATGCATTGTACATACAGTCAAGTACCTGACATACAGTCAGGAAATAAGGGTAATTTATACATATCACTGGTATTTCTTTCATCTCCCCAAAAAGCTCTACAGAAACATTTAGATTGTTAAAACGAGAGGTAAATGCATTTCCCAAGATGAAGTTGTAGTACTAGGTAACCTTGACAAGATGTAGAGACTGGAGATGGGGAAGATTTATTATATCCCATCTTGCAGCTTTATAAAATGCAGAGTTCTGATGCATGGTCACTCTTTTTTTATCTCCTTCTCCTAGTTTTAGGCAGGGTTTGAAAACACTTGGCATTCTGGAGAAAATGCAAATGCACCCAGATTTGTTCTCTAGCATATTGTGCTACAAACCCGAAAGACTCTCAGCGGAAACTGTTTACGGCCTCTTTACAATCCATTCCTCATCAGATGTAAATAAAATTGAAGGTGCTCATTTTTGGATGGGCTATTTGCAAGATGTGGAAAGTAAGTTTTGGGGGTGTTTTCTTGTTTGGTTTTGTTTGGTTTTTTTTTAAATGAAAAAATCCTCCCCTTCCCTATCCAGGTTATTTAGTTGCTGGTATACATGCAGAATTTGATTTTTAGATTTCAGTGATGTAAATAAATTAAGATTTTGTAGTCACTGTCAGTTCCTAATTGTTCCTGCTTCCCCCTTTTTCTTACTAATTAGAATTTCTGAAAGTGTTGCCCAAACCTTTAGAGTGGTAAATATCTGAAAGATCTGCTTTAGGATTCCTGTGAATTAAAAGATAAAAATCCAACACACAATCTAAGTGATACAGAAAAATCCTTTATTAGATAGATTGTCTGAAGTCTTAAAGACCACCATTTTCTATCTTTTACTTGCAGAAGAGATTTTTGTATTCACTTAATATTTTTCAGAACTAACTTGAAGTGGTTTTTTCATGCTAAACTTTTTCTTAGGTAGCCATATAACTGCATATTTATTCAGCATATTGATTTGATTTCATATGGTTTTTTTTTCTCTTAGCACTTAATATGCAGGGTAATGGTTTATGTGTAATAGACAATCAGTGATAAAACGTAATCCTTTTCTTTTAGGTGGTGACTCTGTAGTAACGTTGGAGGATATTCTGCTCTTTGTAACAGGCTCCTCTTATATACCATCTGTTGGTTTTGATCCTGAACCTACTATTAAATTTTTGCATATAAGGTATCCCATTGGAAACAGACTTCTTAATTGCTTAGAGCTTCCTAGAACAAAGACATATCAGCAGTTCAAAAATAAAATGGAACTCACCATCAGAAACACACTAAGAGTTGAAAGGGAGTATTTTTGCTATTAAACTGAACATTGGAAACTTGAGTTTTCTGCAGGAACATCTGCTTTCAGTTTGCTACTGTATTTTTGGACAACATCCTTTTAGTATTTTCTGACCTTTCCTTCAAATTATGCTAAAAGTTGTAATGTTATTAGAGGAAAAACTATTTTCAAAATTAAAAAAAAACTTTATCTCCTGAATAATTTTCCTTTTAAAGTTGACTTTAAGAATCCTACATCTCTTGCAGAAGTAATTTAAATGTCAGCTTTTCCTGTAGACAGGTATGAAATGTTACCACACTCTGTAACAGGTAAGTATGTGGATTGTATCAAATACTTAGGTAACTTATTTATCAAAAACAAACCAAGTACATTTTGAAGATAATTTCAGTAGAGCATTGTCTTGCATAAAACTCTGATGCAGTTCTTCAGTTCGATGTATATTTTTTCAGTAATTGTTTTGTATTGATTCATTTATGTTCTGATGGTTCATAAAAACCCAGGAAAATTAAAATACTTGTAGTTTTATGGTCATTGTGGCTACTGCATTGAAGGTTTGGAGAAAACAGGTAAAATAATACAGCGTAAGAACAAAATTCGGTTGAACTTGTGTCTCTGTTTTTAAACAAAATCTTTGACATTTAAACATTTCTGCATTCTACTGTCATACATTAATTTTTAATTATTCATAGAGCCAAAATAGTAAAAAACAGAAGGAAATCTTTGAACCTGCAACAATACCTGGTCTTTCAAAGTGAAATATAGCAGTTAGACTTAATGTTGTTAAGTATGAAATAACAAAAGTTTGTTGCTCATTAGAACATGTAAACTTGTCCTCCATTAAAGTATTTTCATTCGACCATGCACTAAAACCCTTTGTTAAACTAAAGGCAGTCTACCATCAAGCTTGTCTGGGCCTGACACTTTTCCACCTTATATTCTAAATTCTTCCAGTTCAGTCATAGACACATTCTGAGCACTGTATAAAATATATTTCAGTGCTGCAGTAGTTTGTGCAAATGGCTGGGCCATTAAGCTGTAAAATTTAAGTAGTGAAATTCCTATACAGCAACACTTTAATGTTACTAATGCTAAAACTATGACATTAAAAGGGCATTTAAATACATTCTTTTTAAATGTATGCTGCCCTCTGTTTTGAAATTCTATTACTTCCCTCTGTTAGTTGTGACTGCCTGTGCTATATGTTCTTAACATAAGCTGTGCTATAGATGTAATATAGATACATATGTATCTGTATGTGTCTATATGTATGCACATTCTTCAAAATATTGGAAAGTAATTATATACTCTTTTATTAATATAGCTTGGTTTGAATTGAAAATATAAGCAGAATTGCTTTGCATTTAAATTCTTTGGCAAGGAAGTACATCCACAGTAATTATAAATGGATAGGTGCTTCTGAAAAAATAATAGAAATTCTAAGGAAATTATTGCAAGTCTTAGATCAGACATTTCTCATTATTAATGCCTAAAACAGTCCAATCTCATCAGTCTTGTCATTATAAATTTAAGAATATTAGAAATTAAGACAGGATTAGCAGTGGTTTTTGCTTGTTGGCCAAAAGCACATTCAAGTCTCCTGTAAAAGAAACATATTTCCTGGAGAATGTAATTTGACTTGTTTATATACTAAGCATTTTCTCAGTGTCTTCTCCAATAATATTCTGTGTTTCTGATCTTTGCATAATTTTTGACTCTTATTTTGTCAATAAATTCTTTGTATTCTTAGCCTTCTCAGTGGTCTGTTACCATTATAGGGAGAGTGGTTTGGCACAAATTTGTTTACATAATAAGGATTCATGTATGTATTTTTCAAAAATAATGACTTTCCTGCAAATATCATATTATACTTTAAAAATGAGTGCAGTATTTGTTTTTCTTGCCTAGCTAACGATAAATGCCTTCTGTAATGTTATTCTTCCATATGAGAAGTACAGATTTTACAAAAGTAGCAAGCAGAGTGTGAGTAATTTTAAAGGACAAGGACTTTGGGTACCTGCAGTGGCAAGAGAAATTGTTCAGAACCTGAAACTAAATAAACAGCATTTTAAAACCTTCAATGGAGAAAGAAATAATAAAACAATGTGAACATAAGGCTTCAAAACATATCTCAGACTACAAAAATAGCATTCATATCTTTTACTGCTTATTACTTTTGAACTCAGTATTTGAAAGGTTTTTATATAAAGGCAGAACTAACCTATATGCCAGCTGTAAAAAATGTCAACTTTAAAACGATCTGCTGTACAATGCTATATCCAAACACTGAATTTTAAAATCAGTAAAAACATAGTGTGTAGTATTGCTTGAAAGGTTTTTCTTGCACAGATTTTGTTCCCAATTTCTAATACTGACGTGTACCCGTTCAGGACAAGTCGTCTTTCTCTTTTCTGTTGATTTGATCAGCTCTATCTAGGGGCTCCAATATAATACTTCATATATTCAAGTTATATTCCTGAATGCTGCTGTGGAAAGGAATCTCCTCATTTTCAGCATTTACTTATATAGACCAGTCATAAATTTATTTGAACTGTTCATTAGAATTCCATTGAATAAGCTAACTTCCAAACACAGAATTGTCTCCCTTGTCTTGACATTGTAAGAACAATTTATATAGCTATAAGGACCCCAGGTTTTTATTGTTGTAACAGATCACTGAAGTGCAATATTATGGGGTAGTTTTCATTTAAATAAACATAGCCTGAGGCACACCTTGAAATTAGGGAGACTGCTTACTTTCAGTATTTCTGTAACACAGAGAGAATAATTGTGTATGCATCAGTTGTGTATTAAATATATTCTTATAGAAGCTGCATCTTTTATAAGATTGTCAGCACCGTGAAAGAACTATTGCATCCTTTTTGTGTTTGGCCAAAGAACTTCACCCCACAGTTTCTGCATCAAACTTTCAGTTTCTATCTGGAATTAGCACCTCAAATAAGCTATTTGTTTTCTAGAGTGATAGTTTTCTACTAAACGGTAACATATTAGTATTAGTGGGTTTTTTTTATGGTCTCCTTAACAATGTAGATATAATAAAAAAAACCAGTCAAGTATTTTAGCTCTATGTTTGAAAGGAATAAGAAATTTGTGCTTTTTTACCCATTCAGAGGATGCTTACCAGAAAAAGCTGTTAGCTTTTTTAACTGAATGAAAGGTGAAATACAGTCCAAAGGAGAAAAAATTTGTTCATACTAAAAGTCTAAACCATTGTGTGCTGCACCTTTGATTACTTTAAGATGTTATGTCCTGGAATCTGAAAACATGAGGATTTTTTGAATATTAGTTATTAATTCACACTCACATTCTGCATATGCATTTTGAAAATGGTATCTAAAAATTAATTTAAATAGAAAGAATTGAAACATAGAAGCCTCCAAAATAGGCCTTTCAAGTATATTTTGAATCTGTTTTATATGGTAAAACATGTTTAAAGCTCAAACTTTTCTGTTTCTTACCTAAGGGAATGTCTAATAGGAAAAAAAAATGCGAAAACTTTTGAAGTGTCAAATCATATATATACACAAAATCGTTTTCAAAATGTTAATGTTTTTGCACTCTAATCCTCTGATTTTTGTATTACATAAACAACATTATTTTTAAATTTATGGTATTTAGAATGTTATGCAATACAATGTAATTTTGTAAATTTTTCTAGCTCTAACTTGAATTCTGCAGGATCAGTGCCTAAACTGTTGCATCTTGAAGCAATGTTTTGTAGCATCAGTGTTGAAATAATCAGTAATTGTGGGAAATACCGTGTATATGTCCAAAGTGCAATAAAAGGTTAAATATGTAGCTTCTGTGTTTTTATTTTGTTGATTTATGTATTTTAGCTCTATTTTCTGTAGTTTCATTTGGGTAGCTGTAGATTAACAAAGCTGAGCTGGGGCAAGGCGTTTCTTTCCCGTGGGATTGCTGGAAGAGCATGAAGGCAAGGGGCCTGTGGAGTGTGCGACGTGGGGCAAAGCGAGGCAAACTTGTAACTATTCCATTGCAGCAACTCACAAAAACTACATTACTTTAGCTCTAGCTAGATCCCTCCCTGGTTTCGAAGCATCAGTCCTTCCACTTAGCAATGAGGTGGTCGTATCAAAGCTGCTTCAGTTATTTCTTCTTCAAACTTCAGTCCGAGGGCATAACCTGCCACCTACTCAGCACAAAAGCGGTGCAAAAGGCCCTGTGCTCAGCCGGGCACGGCACAGGCCTGCGTTTCACTCGTCAGCGGGCGTTCCTGCCCCGCCGCTGCCGCGGAGCGGNTCGGGCGGGGCAGCGGGGCCGGCCGCATGCCGCCGCGCCTGCCTCTGGCCCCGCGGCGCGGGCTGCGGGCTCCGCCGCGCCTCTGCCGGGGATTCGCGCCCTCTCACCCGGCTTGGGTCTCCCGGCAACGGGGTGGCGGCCCCTCTACCGCCTTCTCCTCTCCTCTGCGGCGGCGGGCCCGGGGCGGCGGGGCTCCGGAGCCTCGGGCCGCAGTGCTCGCAGAGGGACCCCGGCCCCGCTTGGGCCCTAGGCCCCGGGGACGTGGCCGTAGGTGCCGCCGAGGTGTGGAAGGCGCCCCCGGGGCGGGACTTGGCCGGGCCCGGGCCGTGAGCGGTGCCTTCTCCCGGCCGTGGGAGCGCACACTCCGTTTCGGGTTCTTTCTGCCCGTGGGAAAGATCGACGGGAAATAGCGTTCACTGGTGCGAAAATAAAGTTGCTGTTGTCATGTTCGTGTTGAGACAATACAGGGGCGTCCGAGTCTGTACTGACCCTCAAGAAGCTGGGAATGCGATAACAACAACTAAACTAATTGTGCATGAGGATTTCTGTGAGTAAAGGTTTGTTAGTTCAGTCCCTTCTGAGATTGCTGAGAGTCCTTAATTGATTCTTCTTTGCCTTGATGCTGCTTCATAATGCCTTGTACACACATTCCGGGAATGTCAGCTCCGTAGTCCTCTGCTTCCCTTGCTTGCCAAAGTTGTAGTCAGTAGTTAAGCTGTAATCATGACACTTTCTTCTTGTCAGCTGCAGTATCTTTGGTGGTATAGAGGATTCTGGATGCATTTAATTACCATGAAATGTTTGAAGTCGTCTGCCTAAAAATCTCAGTCATAGTCTCTATGGACCTTAAATATTTTACTAGTATGCTTAATTTTTTGGTACCAGTCTCCTTTTTTGTTATCTCATTCCTCTGCCCTCTACCATTGATAGTGCTGTTTGATGTTCTTCTGAAGTCCTTTGCTTATCTTCTCTTTGCTGTCTTTCTAATAAAGCCTATTTTCTTTGAGCTCATATTCTGTACAGCTTTATTCTTTTCTGTTTCACCGTGTTCATAGGGTGGTGTGGGTTCAAAGGGACCTTGAAAATCATCTCATTCTAACTCCCTGCCTGCTATGGCCAGGAATATCTTTCACTAGGTTGCTTAAAGCCCCATCCAGCCTGACCTTGAGCACTTCCAGCTATGGAGTATCCACAGCCTCTCTGTACAACAAGTTCCAGAGCCTCACGACCCTCATAGGGAAGAACTCTTACTTTATATCTCATCTAAACCTACTGCCTCCATTTAAGGCTATTCCCCCTTGTCCTGTTACTACATGCTGTTGTGAAAAATCCTCTCCAGGATTCTTGTAACTCCATTTAGGTACTGGAAGGCACTGTAAGTTCTCCCTGGAGCCTTCTCTTCTCCAGGCTCAACAAACCAAACTCTCTCAGCCTTTCCTGACAGGAGAGGTACTCCAGCCCTCTGGTCATCTTGGTGTTCCTCCTCTGGACTTAATCTAACAGGTTCAAGTTCTTCTTATGTTGGGCCCAGATGTGGGCATTCCACACACACTCCGCCTGTGTGTACTCCAGGTGGGATCTCACCAGAGGAAAACAGAGGGGCAGAATCCCCTCTCTCATCCTGCTGGCCATGCTGCTTTGGATGCAGCCCAGAGTGCAGTTGGCTATCTTGGCTGCAAGTGCACATTGCCAGGTCATGTCAAGCTTGTCATACACCAACACCCCCAAGTCCTCCTCAAGGTTGCTCTAAATCTGTTCTCTGCCCAGCCTGTATTTGTGCTTGGCATTGACCCAACCTAGCTTGCACTTGGCCTTGCTGAACTTCCTGAGGCCCACAGGCCCACCTCTCAAGCCTGTCAAGGTGCCTCTGGATGGCTTCCCTCCTCTCCTTATTGAGGAGGAATTTCTTCATGGAAAGAGCTAAACATTGGAATGAACTGCCCGTGGAGGTGGTAGAGCCATCATCCCTGGAGGTGTTCAGCTGGACGTGGCACTTGGTGCTATGGTCTGGTTGACAAGGTGGTGATCAGTAAAAGTTGGACTCACTGATCCTGGAGGTCTTTTCCAGCCTGAATGATTCTGTGATTTTGTGACCATACCTGGCTTGATGTCATTGGCAGACTTGCTGCAGGTGCACTCAGCCCCATTGTCCATGTCACCAATTGTTGCTTGATTATTTCAGTCAGCGTTTACAACTGAATCCATGTTGTCTTCTGTTAAGGAGGTCTTTTCCAAGGAGCTAGATTCAACAACTAAAATGTACTCAGAAAAAGGTTTCTCATCATTTAGTTATGGTCTTACCATGCATGTGCACCTTCTGTTGTGACCTTTATCCTGGTTCATAACCAGGATTGGTTTCATAACAAAAGCATATCATTGTGCAAGCGCAGTAAAAACCTGATCCTTGCCCCAGAGAACATTCAACATTAATGTAAATGAAATGACAATATGAATACAGAAAAGGAACTCGGACACTTGCTGAATGTTGACATGATTGTCACAGCATGTTAATAGTCTGATTATTCTTTCTTAGCAAAGAGCTTATGCCAAGTTTTGCTTTAGATGATAAACTTTGCAATGCAATTGCTTCAACTTCGGTAGTACCAAAGCACATAACCCGACAGCTTTATATAAAACTGCTCATATGGCTAAAGATGTTACCAGCAGTGAGGGGCCAAAGAATTCAGGAGCAGCCTGTAATGAATTTTCAGAGCTGCTTCATGGTGTTTAAAAAAGAAGAGAAAAAAAGTATGAAGCAAGTGGAAGGCTGGAGTCCATCAAGACTCAGCACTCAGTGCTAGCTTGGATTTTCCCACATTCGTGTTTCACTTCTAATAATGTCGTTTGTATGGGCAGTACACAGGAGGAAGCAGCACAGCAGAAACTCTGCCTGGCCATGGAGAGATGATATTAGGAAAGCCAGAGTTCTACTGAGGTTGAGCTGTGCAGCATGTATCTCAAGAAAGAAGTGCTTCTGCTGCAACATTAGTAGCAAAAATGTAAATAAGAAAAAAGGTTGGATCTTTGCTAAATGAACATGGTCATTTAATGGTGATAGACACAGATAGGGCTGAGGTAACCAGTGCTGCCTTTGCCTCATTCTGCACCTACAAATGCTTCCAGGCCTTAGTGTCACTTTGGAGTCAATCATTCAGTGAATCCTATTGGAAAATACTTCTCGTCACATGAGGGAAAATGCATACATGAATTTATGTATGGTAAATCATGCCTGACCGGCCTAATTGCCTTCAATGATAAAATGACTGGGTTTGTAGGCAACAGGACAGGGGTATTTCATTTACCTTGACTTCAGCAAAGCTTTTGACACCATGGTGTTATATCCAAGTTAGGAAGTCACGGACTAGATGGATGAACAGCTAACTGAAAAAACTGGTTGTATAGTCAGGCTCAGTGAGTTTGTAATTAATCAGACATAATTACCTAGAGGCTGGTAACAACTAGAGCACTGCATGAGTGTATTCTGTGACCTCTCCTGTTTAAAATGTCTGTCAATTACCTGGAGGGCCTGTCAGAGTGTACTCTGATTAAGTGTGCAGGTGACAGCAAACTAGGGGAATCTCTTCTACTTGAGGGCAGAGCTGCCATTTGGAGGCACCTAGATGGGCAAGAGGAATGGGCCAGCAGAGATCTTACCAAATTTAACGGTGACAAATTCCTGCCCTTCTAAAGGAAGAACCCCTTGCAGGTACAGGCAACAGTATGAGGGGTTGCCAGACTGGAGAGCGGCTCTGTCAAAAAGACCTGCAGGGGGTCCCAGTGGACTGTCAGCTGGAGGGAGTCAGCAGAGACTACCAAGGTGGTCAGAGGCTCTGGTGAGGCTGTAGCACTAAGGGTTGTTCTGCTTGGAGTTTTCTCCAGGTGGCTTCAGGGTGGAGCCTACAGCAGCTCCCCAATGCCTGTGGGCAGCACTGAGAAGATGGAACCAGGCCCCTTTGTAGTGGTGTATGGCAGTAGGGTGAAGCACAACAGGCATAAATTGCATAGCATAAACAAGATGTTCAAACTGGATGTAAGGAAAAGCTTTTTCTCCACAAGGACAGTTAGTGCCACAGGTTGCACAATATGGTTGTGGCATCTCCATCCGTGGAGAACTGACTGGATAAAGCACTGAGCAGCCTGGCCTAGCCTCAGAGCTGAGCCTCCTTAGGCAGGAGGTTGGACTGGAGGTCTTCCAAGGTCCTCTCCAGCCTGAGATGTCTTGTGATACTGTAGATCCCAGGAACTGCACTATGTTCATTCAGCCAGAGTCAGAAGTTAAGTGTTTCTACTGCTCTCCATTTATGAGCTAAGTGGTATCCATCACTCTAATTTCTGCAAATTTTTCCTCTTTGCAAAACTCTGTGATGATTTTGTTAGGAGTTTTAAGAGTATCAGCACTATAGCACAAATAGTTTTTTGCTGCTAGTAAAAGATAGGAGAGCAGCACATACTGTGTTGTTTAATCAGATCAATGAGGAATAGTAATAGTTTTATAAATTAGAGGTAGGTAAAACAATCTGCTTTGGTTTGTGGAATGG